CACGGGATTTGGAGTTGTTTTTTTTTTTTTGGCGGGCATTTTCTGGTGGGCGAATCGTATTGCCACCGGCCGCCACCATTCACCATTGTCTGGTCTCGAGCCTCTGCCATATGTATGGTATGCTTCGTGCGTGTTTTGTTTCGTTGGCAGCGGTCGCGCAGCCCGGCTGGCCAAAGAAATGACGCCAGTGTCATTGCTGTATAAAAACGTTTGTGTGTGTGGGGGGGGGGGGGAAGGGGTTGGGTTGGNGGGGGGGGAAGGCGTTGGGTTGGAGTTGGCCGTGGAAAGGGTGGACATTTTCCCGGACGCGGATAGTACCAAGTGTTCGAAAAACGCAAGTGGTCGCGCAAACCGACTGGTCAAAGAAACTGCGTCGATATCATTGCGGTAAAGAAAACGTTCGTGTGTGTTGTCTGAGGGAGAGAGCAGGGTGCATAGGGTTGGAGTCGGCCGTGAAAAGGACGGGGCATGTTTGCACGAAAGCGATTAGTATGCAAGAATCGCGTGTGCTTTAAAATGCGCCGTTTTGTGTGATCTCTGTCGGCTTTTCTGAGTGCCGTTCTACATTTTTCGGCATGTAGGACGTGTTTCGACGCACTAACCAGGGCATGGTCGCGGTTTCCTCGTTCCTATGCGGCTCCCACAGCATAGCATCTGTGCCGCACCGCTCAAGACGGCCTATTGAGCTGCTGCAAAACAGCACGGTCGAGTCTGCCCCCTATCTCCCCTCCGCAGCAGGTGCTCTACCTAGTGAGATCAGTTCGTCCGTGTCTACCAAACTCTGCGAGGGTACATAAGAAGTTTCATTTTATGTCGGCCAACAGCATTTTTCACACATTTTCCTCTGCGTACCCCCCCCGCGCTCCCGTTCCCCTCTACGACAGCAACTCCGCCAGCGACGGGACCCCCAAGGCGGTGCTGTCCGACAAGTTGAGGCAGTTCTTCCCCCTGGGCGACGCCTCTGCCCTGTCAGCCGAGAGCCTGACTGCGGCCTACAGCAAGGGGGGAAAGGACGGGCTGCTGCAGCACGCCTTGGACCAGGCCGCGGCCGCCACCGAAAAGAAGGTGCACTTAATTATTGTTACCTCTTTATTTTTAGTTTATTAAGAAGGTGCACTTAATTGTTGCTGTTGTTTAGTTTCTTCATTATTTTTTCCTATTTTTACTATCATTTTTGTTGTTAGGCCGAGTCCTGCGTCGTGATTATTTCGGAGATTTTTTTTTTCTCTCGGTGGGGGGGGGGGAGTGGTCTCCAATGGAACAAATATCCAGATCCAAACGACCTTCTTACGCTTCCTCCAGGCACATATTTTTCTCAGTGGAAAAAAGGGCCGATTCAAGTTTTTATTGTTGGTCGCAACATACTTCAGTTCACGGGTTTGGCTAGTGTACGACCAACAAGACACCGAGCGCCCTGTTTTTGGGTCGCCTGCAGGGGGCACGTGTATTATCGCATGCCAGTGGCTGCAGTTTGTGAATGTCGTCGGCCAAAGGCCTCTCTCTGGCATGCGTTGTGGACTGATCACGCTCGGAGCAACCAGGAAAAAAAGGCAACGTAAAAAAAAAGTCAACACCGCGCAACACACTTCCGTTCGCGTGTGCAGGCCGTGTGCAATCAAAACTGGGCAATACGCTCTGTTTCTGGGACGCGAGCAGAGCGTATGTGTATGATAACACGCCATAGGCTGCAGTTTGTGGATGTCATCGGCCGAAAGCCTCCCCCTGGCATGCTGTTTTGATTGGTAGCGGGTGACACACGGAGCAAACACGCGGTGAAACAAAAAAAAAGCCCAACAAGTCAACACCGCAACACACACTTCGGTTCGCGTTTACAAGCCGCGTGCAATCAGAACCGCACAATGCGCTCTATATCTGGGACGCGGGCAGAGGGTATGTATGTGATCACACGCCATTGGCTGCAGTTTGTGGATGTCGATGGCGTAACGCCTCTCCATGGGTGCGTTTTTGACTGGTCACACAAAAGACAAGAACGTCAGCAGAGCAATGTGGCAGGGTTGACGTTTTCGGCTCGTGTGCAGCCAACACGACGCAGAACGCCCTGAATTTTAGATACCTGCAGGGTTTGTGCATGACCTCATGATATTGGCCTCTGTTTGGCCAGCATACGGTGTAGTTCCTCGTTCTGGCACAATCAGGGTGTGACCAGGGGGTGACCCCCCCCATGTCTAACAACAGCGATATTCCAACCCGATCGCTGTTGGAAAATGGGCCAATTTTCTAACAAGCCGGCCGGAATCCCAGGAAATATTTGGGCTGTTGGAATTTGCCATTTTCCTACCCGTAAGATGCCCAAATAATTTTTTGGACTCAGAAAAAGACCCCACCGCCAAGTCCAATCCGGAAAAAAATCACGACGTAAGACTCGGCCTTACTGTTATTTTTATCGTATCACTTTATTTATTATTGTTGTGTGCATTTTTCATGAAGTACCAACGTGTGGTCGCATCAGCCGGGGTCACCACCTAGGAGAAAGGCCTCTCTCTCAGACACTCAGGACACCAATCTTGCGGGTAGCAGACGAAGAACGACATATCAACCTGGCCATCACAAACCAGACCCCCCCCCCCCCCCCCCCCCCCCCCCCCCCCCCCCCCCCCCCCCCCCCCCCCCCCCCCCCCCCCCCCCCCCCCCCCCCCCCCCCCCCCCCCCCCCC